TTGTGGCGGACGCCTGTGGTCCCAGCTACTTGGGAGGTGGAGGCAGGAGACTCGCTTAAGCCCAGGAGTTGGAGGTTGCTGTGAGTTGTGATGCCACGGGACTCTACCCAGGGGGACAGCTTGAGGCTCTGTCCCTAAAAAAGGAAAAAGAAAAAAAAAGAAAAATGTGCAAAACAGATGAACATGCTTCATAAAAATGGATATCCAAAGAGCCAATAATCATATGAAAATATGCTAAACAGCATCAGTCACCAAGGACTGTAAACTGCAGCCTCAATAAGACACCACTAAACATCCACAAGCATGACTAAATTTGTCCTTAATAATATTAAGGGTCAACAAAGGTGTGGAATAACTGGAAATCATATCCTGCTGTCTAGAGGATAAACTGGTACAAGCACTTTAGTACAGAGTTAGACATCATCAACCAAAGGTGAATAAAGACATGTTTATGACCCAGCAATTTGAATAAAACAGTAGAATGATCATACATACACTGGATTTGTTTCCTGGGACTCCCATAACAAAGTACAACAATCTAGGGGACTTAACACATTTATTGTCTCATAACAAAGTACAACAATCTAGGGGACTTAAAGCAACATATTTACTGTCTCAAAACATTGAGATGGGAAGCCCAAAATCAAGGTGTCAGCAGGGCCATGCTTCCTCTGAAACCAGGAAGGGAATCCCTCTTTGTTTTTCCTTATGCCTTCCAGAATCTGATGATTTGCTGGCAATCTCTGGCATTCCCTGATATAGATGCAACACACCAATCTTCCATCTCTATATGGCATTCACCCTTCATCTCTTCACATGGCTTTCTTTTTATAAAGATACCAGCCATATCAAATAAGGGACCCACTCTAATTTGGCATGGCACCATCTTAGTAACATCTGCAATGACCCTATTTCCAAATAAGGTCACATTCTGAGGTACAGAGGATTGGGACTACTATGTTTCTTTTGGATGACAAGGAGTATATAATTCAGCCTATAATATACACCAAAAAGTACTATAATATTCACAAAGTTAGAATATTCATAAAATTTCATATTAGAAGTACATAAAAATATAATATTCATAAAATCAATTTTTAATAATAGCTCCAAACTATAAATAATCCAAATGTCCATCACCATTAGAATGGATTCAAAAATTGTAATACATAGTATACTTATGCAATAGAATACTGCACAGAAATTAAAATAACTACAATAACACGTAACTCTGATAAACCCGTAAGCACAATATTGAGCAAAAGAAGCCAATGAAATGAACTGGGAAAAACTATTCCCCAAAAGGAACAGGGATCCTTAAAGAAGTGGCTGATTCTGGGGTTGAGATGAACCTGTAATGCCTTATTGTACTAAAGCACAAAGAAAGCAATGAATGATGAAGTCACAAAAAAGAACATAGGAGTCAGCTTGAAGAGACTATCACTGACTCAGTCCAGGACAACTTCAGCACCAATATACAAAATAATAGTACAGAAATATAAACCACTGAAAAAAGTAAGAATTCAGGAGTCCATAATGATACAAATAAGTAGGGCAGAAATGAAAGCTCTTGACAGGAAAAAGCCAAATAAAAATTACAGAAAGACTAATGGAATTAGAAAATCTTCATTTTGCAACCATCACAGTAATACATGATTCAGTCAAGTATTATCAATGGAGACTAGTGGGTCAAAGTATGAGGAATAAAGGCTCCTCACAGAGTCTCAAAATAGCTCCCCAGAAGACACTCATCACTTACAAAAGAAAAAATAACTTTACAGTGGGGTAACCTCAGAGATACTACCTTAATTAAGTGATCAATATGAATAGCAGGAGAAGTAAGGCAAATTCACAAGTGTCTCCATAAACATCTTTTCTATGGCATTCCTGAGAAAAATCTACGAGGTGAAGTTTGATAATAAACGCAAATCAAGAGACATTCAACAAAACAAACAGCCTGAGCTCTTCAAATATCAACATAATGAAAAATAAAGAATATTAAAGAACTGTTCCAGATTAAAAGAGAATGAAGAGGATGGCGCCCATAGCTCAATGGGCAGGGCGCTGGCCACATACACCAAGGCTGGCAGGTTCGAACCCAGCCCAGCCCAGCCCAGCTGAAACAATGAC